TTTTTTCTTCACCTAATGCAGATAGCTGTAGAGAATATGGAGGAATACCTTAACATTCACCCCTTGAAGAGAAAGCAGTGATTTTTTATGGTGCTTGTAATTCATGCCATCAATTTTATACGTGGTAGGTCCATGTCAAAATCAGAGTAATTAAATGGAATGGCAGTCCTGTTAAATGTGTTCATGCCATTGCATTGGCAATAAAGCATGTGCAAATTTACAATTAAGGCTTGTCTTTCTCCTTAGCCGTAGAGAATTGTGACAAACATTAAGTTGCACAGTCATAGGGATCCAAAAGAGTATTCATCAAAATAAAAACACCAGGTGGATAGTCTCAGGATTATAATATCTTCTTATGCAATTACTCTTTTTCACTGCATATTTTTTGACTGAATAATAATTACTTTTGCACTGAGAAAAGGCAGGATCAGCTAGTTTAAACTTGTTTTATTACAACCCTCCTTTTTAAAATTTGCAAGGCAGCATAGAGCCATAACTGTTTATTCAGATAAAAGTATATTTGTTCCAGTTCTTAGCTTTCAGAGGGTGACAGACTGTTTCAAATACAGCACACTGAGCTTTTAATACAGTCGCTTTGGTGCTACAAAACACGCCATTAAGATGCATATGGATGGTGTGGTTAATTTCCTAAGCTATCACTAGGAATCATCAATACAACAGAGATAAAGGAGTTTTGAAACCTAGCCCAAGCAGTGAATTGACAGCCATCTTTTAACCACCATGACCTAAGAATGACCCTGAGCCCCTCTGAGTGCAGGAGTTAGATATGTTGCAGAGCGCAGGAATCGGATATCTAACAGGCCTGGAGGCCCCCACTGTGTGGCAACTGCAGAACCACTTGCAAGGTCTGACACACAGATTAGGTGACAAACAGTGATGTCAACTCCATGCTCTTTTTTATTTTTTTTTAAATTTCAAAACAGACAGAATTGTGAACGTTTCGTGTTTATTAGGCTGTTCCCTCCTTTGTAAGCTTGTTAAGATTCATAAAAGTACACTCACCAAGTTTTTATATTGTTTAAAACACTCTAATTTGACTGTATCTGCAAATATTGGTACTGTGTGCGGGTACACATTTTGCACATACACTCCTCAAGAATTAATTTTATAGCAATGGAACAATATATTCTAAAGTGCTCCAAATCGTCCATGGTACTTTATGATAAAATGTACCCTTTGTTTTGTTTTTGGTAGCTCTTTATTCCTAAGTCTTGCTTACATTTTAAATTTCTTGCTTAAATCTTTATAACTTGGTTAGTAATTATGGTTTTTGGGAAACACATATACAGGGCTGCAGAATACGCATTTAGGCTCAGTTGCCTTGCTCCCTTATTACAGAAATGGTATATGAAACAGTTATTGTAATAAAGCAGAGATGTTAATAAGGGGATAGACATTCAGAGGAGCTAAGGAATAGGAATGCAGGCTACCTCATTAGCTTTCAGTGATTAAAGTGGAGAGTTTGTCTTTCGTAACAGTTCTTTTCCTAGGATTCTCATGAATGAAAAGTAGATACACTCACCTTAACAAAAGATATAAATTACAGTATTTGTATTATTAGCATATGTGTAATGACTAAAATGTTCATATATCAATCAGGGAAAATGCAACTGGGATGGTATCTATACAGTTTCCTCCAAGTGCCAAATGCATTTAAAAAAATGATTCACAAACAATAAACAATCATAGCAATACCCTGTTTCTCTGAACTTTCTCTGGTTTTCCGTTTTTCAAAGAACACTGTAGCTTGCAAGTCAATCTTGCATTTGGAATTTGCCAGTCACTTTGGAAGTTCTGCAGGGTCTTTGTGGGGTCTGTGACCTGAGGCTGTGCTAAACACAGTAGAGCTGGAGCTCCCACCCTGACTCCATGGGGGTGGGGATGGAGGGGGGGGGGCAGGGAGAACCGCTGCCTTCTAATTGTAGTGCTGAAAAATAGCAGAGGTTTTGAATCAGATCTTCACAAATACCACACTTAAGCTGAATCACCTCCCCTCTGGGGCCATTGCAGAATGCCAAATTCAACTGCTACATTCACTCCCAAACCCATGCTTTTCTCAGGATGGCATTTCATGGTTATTGTTCTTTGCTGTCCTTTTAATGAGAGAAACAGGTAGTGATGTGCATACTCTAATTGGTAATGCTTTCTAATAATCTTGTAATCTGGGTTTGTAAATAGTTTTGTGGAAAGTGTGGAGGGATCTGGGACTCAGAGAAGAGTATTACTTCCCTGGCTCTGTGACAAATGAGGATTTTAATCTGATTCATAACCTTTTACAAACAGCTCCATCTTGACCAGAGCACTGTGTTTGGTGACCTATTCAATTTATTAATGTTTCACATTGGGCCTAAGTGCCTACAATGGGGAAATGACAACAAGTGAGTACTGGTGACTTCATTAACTTGGCCAATACTGGTAAACGGATGGGTTGACATTATGGAAGTGTGCCCCATGGAAACCCTTCTACCTGAGGACAAAGAGAGTGAGACCCAGTCTTGCTATCAGCTGCTTCTGCAATTTGTGTGTTCAGCTGCTCCGCTCATTTGCATACACCCCAATGCTTTTTATTTTGTAGGCACTATCTTGTTCGCCCAAATGATACCTCCCTGTAAGTGGGACTCATCTTTGGCTTGACTTGTGTATCATCACAAATCTTGAATGCTTTAGGAAGTAGAATGTTTCATGGTTCAGTTTCAGGAAGGAGAGACCATTCCATTTTACCTCTTGTAAGAAGAGATTTAAATACAGAGAATTTTGTCTTTATGCAATTGGAGTTATGAGCTCAGTGTTCTGAGTCTGCAGGAGCGACTCCCAGAACAGTACTGCAGAACTAGCCTGAAGTGTTAGCTGCTACTTGATCAGGAAGGCCAGGAATCAGGAGGCTGCCATAGAACTATGGATCTAAAAGCCCACCACAGTAGCCTCAACAAAACTAGTGACTGGATGCTGGAATTTTGCTGTGGAAAAATCCATATGTCTTCTCCCCAGCCCTACCTGCTAGCAGCAAGAGAAAGAATAGCAGGGTGATTGGTCCCACCTCTTTCCCACCTTCCAGATCTCAAGATCTCATGTGATTACATCTTCTTGGTGGATCCCGATTTCAGAACTGTTGCTGGAAGGGAATGTGAGCTTTCTAGTCTCTGCAGTACTGGAAGGCACCCCCAAGGGGAGTTGTAGTGGATGTTGATTGCTAATTTATCATTTCCATCTCATAGCCTAAATAAGCAAAAACATGTAACAGGATAGGAAATCCATGGGTTCTCCTTCTCTTCCTGGTGCCCTTTGGTTTTCATTTAGACAAGTGAATTTCTTCCAGAAAAGTAATAAAAATAATGATGATTCTACAATATTTTTCTACTGTTTGTCTGAAATATATTGGCAACTTTATAGTCCTTTCTCAGATATGGATTGAAGGTGTACTAACCTGGGTCTCAGAGATTCTTCAACTTCTTCCATCTTGTGTTCCAGCCAGTTGCTTTGGAACTGTCCATTGGCTCCCACTTGCTTTTGTCTCGCTGTGCCCATTCCCCTCATATTATTGCTTAGGTGGGATTGGGTTTTTTGGACTCAGCTTTCTTACTGGAAGTTATTGTTGGGATCTTCCTTGTTCTAGGCTCAGGGGCTAGAGGAAGCCTTAAACAAATACTCACCTCTGTTCTTCTAACCCCAGCCTAGGTGTGTCATTTGGACCCCCAATCATCCAGAAGGGAGTTGGGCCAGTAACCGTTATGTTACTGAAGTGTTCTTAAATTTATTTGTTATAAAAATTTCAGACAGTCGTGCATGGGTGGCTCAGTTGGTTAAGCGTCCCACTCTTGATTTCCACTCAGGGGATGATCTCACAGTTCCTGATTTCAGGCCCTGTGTTGGGCTCTGCGCTGGCAGCACAGAGCCTGCTTGGGATTCTCTCTCTCTTTCTCTTTCTGCCCCTCCCCTGCTCGCTCGCTCTCTCTCTCTCTCTCTCTCTCTCTCAAAATAAATAAATAAACTTCAAATCTCAAACAGAGCTAGATATGTCACGGAGTAAATAGAAACATTCAGGGACTGCATTTATTTTCCATCGCTGAGCTGCCCTGACCTTGCTGGAATTGGCACCTAGCACAGTCACAGAGTAGGCGTGCTATATTGGTTGAATAATGATGGAATTCGGTGACCCTGATGCCACATTCTCAGAACTCACTCAGGTATTTTGGTGAGAATTATGCTCTAAGCTTATGCATCTTCCTTTGGAGTGCAGACTTTACAAAGTGCTATGCCGTCAAGCCATCTGACTATACTATTGTGGCTTAATTACAAAAGAGAGTGATTATGCTATGTGTTAGAGCTCTTCAGGTAACTTCTTGACTCACCTGAGAGGCCAGGGACAGTCTTCAAGGACAGCTGGTCCAGGCTCACGTGGTATCATTAGAACGTGTCTTCCTTTCCCCTCCAGTGGATATATGGCTTACGTTCTGCTGTACTCAGTTCATTGCCAAGCTATATACGATGGCTTCAAGCAACTGCAAGAACACATCAACCCAGTAACAAAGCCAGTGACAAAGAGAGTTCACTTTCCCAAAGCACAAACCGGAGTCTAAGACCTAAACCTCCTTAGCCGGAATTGGCCTGATTTAGGTCATGGGCCTATTTAGGAACCAGTCGGTGGCTGCGGGAATGGGATGCTCTGATCGATTTAGTCTTGGGCTTAAACTCTATCCTGAAATCCAGAGATAGAATCTGCTTCTTCGGAATGGGGCTGGAGTAGATCCCTAAATGGGAATTGAAGAGTTGTTGTCATAGGAAGCAGAGTAGATGTCAGATAGCAAAAGCAACGTTAAGTCCACCATAAGCAGAAGGCAAACTACCTGTACAAAGAAGATAGTGTGTCCCCAGAAACTCAACAGATATGAAGAGACATCCTGAAATTTCTGGCTGTTTTTCAGTGTCTGGGCCACAGATCCATTTGACTCTCTGAAAGCATTTTTGTTTTCATTAAACAGATGAAATAAAAACTGAGACGCCAACTTTAAGGACGTGAGTCTAGAGCTAAACTGAGATGGATGGACCAAGATGGAATACACCCTGCAGTTTTCAAGAACGATTCAGAACTTTGGGCACTATTTGTCTGGATTGCTGTTTTTAATCTGAAGTTGTTTTTGCGATAATGTAACACTTAAAAAAGAAAAAAAAACCCTCAAGCATACCCAAATGTACAGGGTGGTATAATGAACCCCCCATGTACTCACTACCCAAATTAAATTGCTATATTGATTTTGTCATTTTCTTCATCCATCATCTCCTTTTCCCCCTTTGCTGAAATATTCTAAAGCATATCCCGGGTATCATGCCATTTTACCCCTTCATTTCTCATTATGAAAAAAATTTAAAGTAGCCTTATTTTATCATTGTTATTTACCACAACTGGGCATGATTTAGCCAGAAATCCAAACATTCTGGGGCATCAGGAGCTTCAACTCCTTTCTCCTAAAACCACAGAAGCCAAATACATCTCTGACCCAGTACCAAGCCTACTGAGTATTCACAATACTGAAAAGATTGCAGCATTCCAAACAATATGAAAGGAATTAAAAAGATAGGTGTATTCTATGCCTTCATGGACAGAACTTTGGCTGGTTTCCTACTGGATCAGTTCAGACATTTGAAAGGTACCACGGCTGCCAGGTGGGTGGATTTGAATCATATTTAACAGTTGTCTTTTTTTTTTTTTTTTTTAAGGGACTTAACGTTTCCTCCTTTGAGATTTCAACTGATTGTTTTCTTTTCTGGAAATTGATCTCTCCAGAAAACTACTTATGAGTAGGACGCTCAAAATTTATTTTGATGTTATTAATACTGTCTTGGGTTTCAATACAGGCACCCCAATCTGGCTAGCTTGAGACATTTTCTTGTCTACAGTTTGATATGCAGGGATAATCAAATTCTAGAAGAAACTTGGGGTTAGGATTTTTACATTAAAAAATTCAGTTGGAGTTGTTGTCAGAGAGATCATAAGTCAAAGTTTAAATATGTGGTTTAAGTAAAATATCTGGTCTAGTTTCTGCAAAGTTTCCAGGGAACCTTGTTCCCTGAACCTATAATTCAGAAAGTCTCATGAGCCTTTGATCTCTGACAGCATTGCCATTGTTATTGATCCAGGTGAAACAAGGCAGGGGTGGGAAGAGCAGCTGGAAAGAGCTATTGATTTATTTATTTGACAGATATTTATGGGATTTCTGTTATGTGCTGGGCACTATGCTAGTACGTGGGTAAATTAAAGAAGAAATGACAAGAACCTTGGTTACAAGGAGCTTATAGTCTACTGGAGTAGAGGTAAGACCTTTACCCAAAGTAGAGCGTGAAGTGTCGTAAAATGCATATGGGCATTCTGAAGAGGAAAAGATTTGTTCCTTTTCAATTCTGGGATCTGAGATAGCTGCATGGAGAGATGGCAGATGAAAGGAGCTGGGGAATATATTTTGAATTTGGACATGCAGACATGGTTAGGAAAGAAAATCAGCTCCGCGGACTATTCCAGATCATTGTATCCTTTGCAGCACAGCCTTAGGAGGCTGCTGCTGTAGTCCTTCAGGTGTGCAAACAGACGGTATTGCTGTTTGTCAATTTTATGTATTACTTTTGTGTACAAGTTCTGTATTACGAATTGTAGAAGGGACAAGAGAAATAACTCGTCAGATATTCTTTTTTTTTTAATTTTTAAAAAAAAATTTTTTTTCAACGTTTATTTATTTTTGGGACAGAGAGAGACAGAGCATAAACGGGGGAGGGGCAGAGAGAGAGGGAGACACAGAACCGGAAACAGGCTCCAGGCTCTGAGCCATCAGCCCAGAGCCTGACGCGGGGCTCGAACTCACGGACTGCGAGATCGTGACCTGGCTGAAGTCGGACGCTCAACTGACTGCGCCACCCAGGCGCCCCAGAACTCGTCAGATATTCTAATGCTATACTTAACCAGTGTTCTGTGAATCTGTTGTAGCTTTGCTTCTGTAGCTCCTCTAGGATTTGGGGAAGAATAGGGAACAAGCTATCGCCTCCATCAGTCTTTCATGTGAAATAACTTTAATTCCTAAATTTTGAACCCAATCCCCACATGTAAAAGGCACAAAAAGTGTAAATAAAAGGGGATAATATATAATAGGTAGCAATGATAACTTTCTGTTTTACCTCCTTAGGTGTCTCTTGAATCTGTTTCTTTCTCATGTTCACTATCCAATTCCAGGTTGATAGTTCTCATTTAGGATTCCCTGCCTTTAGCTCTTTTCCTTTCAATTCCAGTCTCCATCCTGCCGAATGAAATTTCCACAGCTCCCAATCCACAGAAATGATAGTATTTCTTCTTGCTTAGGAACCCTTCAGTGGCACTGCATTGCTCTTAAGGTAAAATTTGAATTCCATTATATCAAGCAAGGCTCTCCATGATCATTTGATCAGGGATGATGTGTATGATCCAAGAGTATCTAGATGTAATATAAGCAACTTGAAAAAAAATAAGTTGAATATTAGATTACAGGGTAGTAAACAGTAGTAGATATCACATGATATAATACCTTTAATCTTGATTATCTCTTGCTTTGTATTTTTTCTTTTTTAAATGTTTATTTATTTTTGAGAGAGAGAGAGAGAGAGAGAGAGAGAGAGAGAGAGAGAGAGAGAGAACCAGTGAGGCAGGGGCAGAGAGGGGGACAGGATCTGAAGACGATCTTTTTGCTGACAGCAGCAAGCCTGATGTGGGGCTCGAACTCACTCACAGACCGTGAGATCATGACCTAAGCTGAAGTCGGATGCTCAACTGACTGAGCCACCTAGGCACCCCTGGTATTTTTCTTATCCTGATTCTTATATGAGCCATTTAGCTGAACTTGACTTTATGGAATAGATTCTTTTCTCTATAAAATTAATTTCTGAATTTTAACTCTTTTCCACACTAAATTTCTTTACAGAATTAGAAATTGATCCTTTTGTAAAGTCTATTGACCTTAAAATAAAAAATTTTTAAACCTTCAAACATGTTAAAAGGAAATGAAAATATATTAACTTTTTAAAGATTCTTTAAAAAAATTTTTTAGACAGAGAGAGCATGCACATGAGCAGGGGAGAGGGGCAGGGGGAGAGAGAGAGAGAATCTTAACCAGGCTCCATGCTCCTCATGGAGCACAATGCAGGGCTTGATGCAGGGGTTGATGCAAGGCTCAACTTGGAGCTCGATCCCACGACCCTGGGATCATGACCTGAGCCAAAATCAAGAGTCGGTCACTCAACTGACTGAAACACCCAGGCACTCTGAAAATATAATCTAATTCAAGTAAAAAACAAATGTTTACTTATTTAAAAAAATGTTTATTTACTTTTGGGAGGGGGGAGAGAGAGAGAGAGAAAGAGAGAAAGAGAGAGACAGAGAGACAACACAAGTGGGGGAGGGCCAGAGAGAGAGGGAGACACAGAAACTGAGGCAGGCTCTAGGCTCTGAGCTGTCAGTGCAGAGCCCCATGTGCAGAGTTCAAACTCATGAACTGTGAGAACATGACCTAAGCCAAAGTCGGACACTTAACTGACTAAGCCATCCAGGTGCCCCAATTCAAGTTTTATAAATTTTTTTTCAACATTTATTTATTTTTGGAACAGAGAGAGACAGAGCATGAACGGGGGAGGGGCAGAGAGAGGGAGACACAGAATCGGAAACAGGCTCCAGGCTCTGAGCCATCAGCCCAGAGCCTGACGTGGGGCTCGAACTTACGGACCACGAGATCGTGACCTGGCTGAAGTCGGACGCTTAACCGACTGCGCCACCCAGGCGCCCCCCCAATTCAAGTTTTAATATATAAAAACTTATTTATTTTGATGTATTTTAAATATATATTATTTTATATAGTAAATATGTTACATATATTTATGTATAAGTTATGTAAATTATAAATGTATAGTTATATATGATATATATTTAATACATAAATTTACAAGAGTTAGGATATTTTCTAGTTTTAAGACAATGAACTAAAGGCCATTCTAGAAAGATGCTAATGACTTGCTTGAATATAATACAACACTGAATAATCATAACTTATCAGCCTCCAAATCTTAATAAGCTACAGCAGGGTGGTGTATGATTTTCATATTCTGTTTCTTGGTACTTCAAAAAAAATTTTTTTTAACCTTTATTTTTGAGAGAGAGAGAGAGAGACAGAGTGTGAGTGGGGGAGGGGTACGAGAGTGGGAGACACAGAATCTGAAGCAGGCTCCGGCACAGAGCCCGACGTGGGGCTTGAACTCACAATCCATGAGAACGTGATCTGAACTGAAGTCGAATGCCCAATTGACTGCGCCACCCAGGCGCCCCTCTTGGTACTTTTTTTAAATGTTCATTTTTGAGAGAGAGAGAGAGAATGTGGGTGAGGGGCAGAGAGAGAGGAGAGAGAGGATCCAAATCAGGGAGCTGGAACTCATGACCGTGAGATCATGATCTGGGCCAAAGTCAGACGGATGCTTAACCAACTGAGCCACTCAGGTGTCCATGTTTCTTGGTACTTTTAAAAATTGTTGACATAAGGAAATACCAGTTGGTCTGGGCAAAAGAAGTTGTAAGTTATAGAAAAAAAAGCCAGTGCAATGAATTAAAAGCAACATTAAATAACTGTAAAAATGGGACGGTGCATTTATTGACACTTACTTAAGGGGAGATCTAGTGATAAGAAAGTCACATCAAAAAGATGTTACTAAATTATAGGCCAAGAGGTCTTGAGCTTTTGAACAGTCTGCTGGGGTGATGCTTTCATTCATTCATATGCTTGTTCAATGTTCATCCCAAAATATAAGGCATAATATGTAAGCCCTAGCAATGTAATGGCAAAGTCAACATCCTGACTCCTTAGAATTTTCAACCTAGTGTGAGGGTGTGGGGAATGGCTGGGTGGAAACAGATGATAAATAAGTACATAATAAATTAGAAAGTTAACTTTTGATAGAGGTAAGTTCCATGAAGGAAGTAAGACAGTGGGAGGTGATGGAAACTGCAGAGGGAGTAGTCATTTTATATAGGCTGAGAATAACTTTCTTTAAAAAAATTTTTTTTTAATGTTTATTTGAGAGAGAGAGAGAGAGAAAGAGAGTATGTTTGTGTGTGTGTGGGCAGAGGAGGGTAGAGAGAGAGGGAGACACAGAGTCTGAAGCAGGTTTCAGGTTCTGAGTGGTCAGCACATAGCCTCACACGGGGCTTCAACTCACGAACTGCAAGGTTATGATATGAGCTGAAGTTGGACGTTTAACC